ACAAACGAAAATTCTTTGTGGTCGGGAAGACACAGCAAATTTTTGTACGACTTTTTCGTTGTAACTTCTGCAGACGTTTTTTTAAAAGCTTTTTGAGCGACATTTGGATAGTTGCTTCTCTTTTAGTTCGTTCTGCCTATGTTCAAATCCAAATCATAATGGGAGACATGAAAATGGAAAAAAATTACGAACTTTCAAACGAAGCTTCCAAGAATGCAAAATTTCTGCATTGGTCTTAAGTAAAATTCTAGTTCAGGCTTTACAAAGTTTTTTTCTTCTCAAAACTTTCTTTCCAACAGTTCACTAATTTTTCAGTCTCTAAGTGAACTTATTTCAGAGCAAGCTATAAATGAAGAGAGCAGAGTGGACCTTTCAAACTGAGGAAAACGCAAAACTTTGAGTTATATAAAGAAACCTTACTTATATAGATTTTATAATTCATCTTGAAAAATTCTGGCGCGTTTCTGCGCTGAATCACTACCTCATAGTTTCTACCGCACGCAGTCAAAAAAAATTTAGGAAACAGATAGCAAAATATTGACAATATATTGAAAAGTATTGACAAAAAATAATGCAGTCATTCCCCAAACGTGAAGAGCCCCAAAAAAACCACCTGAAAGCTGTCTGTCAAAACAAATATTAAATTTCGTTGACAAAACATTTTTTTTATTCTGTAAGGGAAATAATTAATGAAATAAGTTCTTCTGCAAAACCATGTAAACTTTTTGACACTTAGCTGTAAAGCCTCTTCTCTCTCATCAATCGCTGTGTTGACGTCAGTTTTTCAGCGCTTTGTTCATATTTTCGTTTTCCTTCCCCACCTGTCTTTATGAAGCATCCCACAGAAGAAACCTTGCCTAATCGGTTTTCGGTCTTTTTCACTGATTTCTTATCTTTTTGTTTTCAAACACATAAAGCAAAGAGTGCCTGTTCAAATGTGCAGAGAGAACAAGTCGGGTAAACAGAAAAGGAGACGAAGAAAATAAAGTAGTACTGCCATCAATAAAAGTTGGATAAACAGAATTTCTGAAAAAGAACCTCAGAAACAATGTCCTACAAATAATTTACAGGGAAAAGATCAGCACGGACCAACAATTAAAATAATTAAAGTAAAAATGATGGAATCAATTTAACCAATCATCCCCAGGTTGGGGCATTACGATAGGTCGCTTGGAGGGGCGTATTGGAAAAATACCGATACGATTTCAACACGCTATTTCGTCCTCTCTTTATTTCGCATTGGTTCTACTCGGGTGTTTCGCAACATGCTGCAAAATGCAACGAAATACAAATAAATTTCGCAATAGATCGACAACACGGTTGCTAATTTTAGACGCGAAAGAAGTGGTATAAAAGTGGTAATAGCCTGCTGTTTTTCCAAACAACCTTATTCACTATGACTGAGCAGGTTCGATTTAAAGTGGTCAACGAGGGAATGCAGCATCGTTTTGCGCTAGACAACAATGAAGGTATTTTTTCATCGTTAAAACGACGGCTTGGACAGCACGGGTTTTCGAGCTCCACTGACCGCCTCTACTGGATCGATTCTGATGACGATATCATACTTCTTGAAGACGAGGACTCTGTAAACGAAGCCATTGATGCGCATAACGGGAAGACTATTCATCTTTTTATTGGACCAAAACAAAACCCTGGTGTTTTTCGAGAAAATACTCGACAGGGTAGGAGAAAGTCACGCAAACGCGCACGGTCTAGGTCCTCGTCCTCTTCCTCCTCGTCGTCCTCATCTTCGTCTTCTTCGTCTTCATCATCATCATCATCGTCCTCATCGGTGTCGCTCGCGTCAAAAGGTGGCAAGAAAAAACGTTACGGGAAGTTGTCTAAGAAGCAAGCGAAAAAACTGGAAAAGAAGCAACGGAAGAAGCTTAAGAAACGATTTGGCTCGATGAAGGTTCGTAGTCGCGGACCACAAATTGGTGTGCGCAGAAGTTATAGCTGCCCACCAACAGGCCGTTCCCGTGATGATTTTCATTTTCCAAACATGCCACCGTGGTGGAACTTCGGTAAGAAGCAGGACAAGAAGAACAAGTGGTTCCGTCATCACTATGACCCTTGGATGGGAAGATGCAGAATGGGTGACCCACGCTTCGGGTTTTTCAGAGGCCCTCCGCCATTTCCATTCTCAGGACCGTGTGGTTTCGGAAATTTCCGAGATCCTTTTCAGTGTAATATGTTCGATCCTGGTCGCCAACCACCTCCGCCTCCGCCAGGATTTCCCATGTTTCCCCCTCCCCCTCCCCCCCCTCCAGTTTTCCGACATGGTCACCACCGTCATCATGGGCGAGAGGAACATGCGTGGCCATACCATACGGACTTCTACGGCTGCTATTAAGAACCCGGAGACCGCCATTCTTATCCCGGCCATTTTTTCAGGAGCTAATTTATAAGTCGTGCGACCATCTGGAAAAATGAAGGTAAAGTATAACAACAATTATTAACACTTAATTTTAGTTGGCTATAACTGGCTTTTAATCGTCATTAACTTTTTATGATTATGTTTGCTTTGACGTGGTACTTGTGTAACTTGTAGTAGATCCAAATCGTGAGGTTCTTTAGCCTCATGTTGTTACTGTTAATCAATGAAATAAATATTATTTATGATTTATTCCACACAGAGTGATTACAACATGGCTTTACTTTTTGAAACACCAAAAAAGAAGTGTGGGGGAAAAGAGAAAAATGTATAGGCATAATGGGGCCAAAATGGCTATAAACTATCGATGCGAAAAGGGTTTGGAAAACAACGCAGTATTTCTTTGAAAGAGTTAAAGGATGAAAAGTTGTATGAGTCAATTTACTATCGATTTTTTAACAGCAGGAAATGAACAGTGACTGCATGCTCAGGCACTCTGCTACGCAATTTCTCCTCGGTTGCGAGTAAGGAAAGTTGGCGGTCACTTTTTTTCTTGAAAAGCATTCGATTTTTTGGTCACAGCGACTGCAATCACACGTTGAATTGTGATGGTAGAGATCATGTAATAAGCGAGGACTTTGAGGAATTTAAAGAAGGCATTAACGGTTTGAAACACTGCTCGCTTGCTAAAGACACATAAATGTATTCAAGCACTACTGTATTTGCTGAATTTGCTTTGCTTAAACCAAAAAAAAATCAAAAAGTAAACACATTTCAATCGTCAGTGAGAGCAGTTTATCGTCATAGTTTTACAGAACATTGCAGCTAAAGTAGAAAGCAACGTGTGTCAACGAACTACTTGCTTTATTTAGGCTACGAAAGTAAGGTAAAGTTACACAGCAGACTATATTTCAAATTAGGACTGATGCATCTTGCGGTTCAAGGTACACATCAATAAAATTTCATATGATTTTTTTTTTTTT